TACCAGTACTGGTTTTATGATGTAATACTGAATAAAACGGTGTAAGTGACAGCATAAGATTGAATTTCGTTTCATTATTTGTGTAACTCATCTGAAAATACTATTCTATATTCTGTACACATAATAGTTTCTGAGAAATAGAATAAGAAATTGCAGTAACTGAATAAAATTAAATGTGTACACAATTCAATATTTTAAAAGATTTTAAAAGAGCTATAAAACAAAATAAAGTTATTCTTCCTATCTAATTATAAATATACTTTGCCCTTATCCTTTGCCCTGAATAACAACTGTTCATACTAATACAGTACATGTCTCTAGGGAAAGGTGTAAAACAATTACTGAATTAGGGAATATATTTCCAAAATGTAGTAAAAGGGATTCCAGAAATGCCCAAGGCATCCAGCCCACCTCAAAAAAACCAACACAGGGCAAACTTTTAAATAATTATAAAATGATAATACTGTAATACAAGCAAACAAAATTAAAATATTTTCAGAGTATGCGTTTGATTTTTAAGACAAAAAGGTGAATTTTAGACAATGTTTGCATTTGGAATGTAGATTTAATTGAAATCTGCAAAGGTAACTTCAGTTTGAAATATTAGACAGATTTCCCCACAAAAAAGGAACTGTTCAAAAATGCTGGTAATACTTTATCCATGGGCAAAAAGTATAAAGGGCAATGGAATCAAGGAGGAAAATACTTTGGTACAGAAATCAATGAAACCATGATCGGATTGGTGTAAAGTTTTATGTCTTGGTGCATAAAGTCTATTCAGAAGTGCATAAGGTTTAATCAGAAGGCGCAAAATATAAAATAAAAAACTCTGCTCATTGTAACCTCACATTGTATCTCAGTCATGCAAAAACAATAGGTGCATTAAGCTCAAAGTTTTACTTATTTGTTCAATACTTATTTTATAGTTGTCTTAACTGACATCTGCTTTAAAACACTTTTGACTTCTGAAACAGGTAAGTAACAAACGAAAACTAAAAAAAAAGGAAATTTCTCCACTGTTGGAAGGAGTTCCAATGATTGTACCACTTTCTTTTACAACATTCATAATAATATACTGGTAGATGTATGAATACATCCTACCTATATTTTAATTTTGTAATTGCATTAATTAGTTTGTTTTCATATTATCATTCCTTCAAACATGGGATATCATCATTTCATTCATTATATTGTATTAAAACCAGAAAATGAGTAAGCTGTTGGGGTCATGTTCATCGTTATGAAAAGTGAACACAAGACTAGGAAGTATAATTGAAAAAGGAATAAACCAATTAAAAATTAACATGCAGTGTAATGCTGCAGAAGAATTCCCTTCCCTGCATAAAAATAGCAGAAGATCTTTCATACTTAGTTACTATAGTTACATCTATCTGTAGTAATAGAAAGTTTTCTATGTTTTTATCACATTTCAGGTGATATCATGACAACCAAGGTTATAACAGTAATCATTAATGTGGAAACCAAGTTAATTCAGGATTACACAAATTATCATGAAACATACTATCAGCATTGTAATGCCATGGTCTGAGTTTCAAATTTAGAACTTTTAGAAGTTCTAAATTTTAGAACTTCAAACTGGCCACCATTTTATTTGTTTATTTTTGCATATGCATACACAGAATCTCTTTATATATGCTTAATGTAAAAATCACTAGCTTCATGTACAAAGAACATCAAGTGCTATAATCACCCCCATGAATGCTATACTCACATCTGATTCAAAGAACAATAAACAAAATGATCAGTGACTTCTTTGTAGCTTTAAGGGGATATTCCTATGTTGGAAATGTTGTTCAATCCATTCAACTCCTGCTAGTCCCTCAAGAAATGCAACAATTTTTTGAAATCATCCCTATTATGATACTACACTAAAAAGTCAGATAGCCCAAATCAATCCTATCTATATACCCTAGAGACCAATTTAAAATGGTAAGGACAGAAAGGAAAGACATTTTCAGGTGCTGTGGGTCCCCCAAAATGAAACACATGCACACTAAGACGCCTTATGCTTGCTGTGGCTTTCTCCTATACTTTGCTTAGACTGAGAACAAAAGCTCTGGAAAATGTCCAACAACTTTGTCACACACAAGTCTCTTTCCCCCAGAATGTTTCTCAGCTGTGCTTGCAATAAATGTGTATTTCTGCTCTCTCTTTCTTTCCCCATGGTAACAATGAAAATGGGTTACTCAATCTGATGAAAATGTTCATCTTTTCTGTACACAGTATATAGATCGACACAAGAATGACATTTCTTTTCAAATCCTATTATTCAGCTGCTGATATGTGGCAAGAAAGTTCAAGGTAGCAACTTCAGAAAGAATCCTACAAACCAAATGCCCTGTAACGTAAGCAAACAAAGCAAAAAAATAACCTAGAAATTTGTATTACATGAAACTTTAGGAGTCAGAATATATCAAATCATTAAACAAAAAGTAGAGGAGCCTGCAAAGAGGCAGACACAATTCTGGCTTGGCTTTGATTTTGGTCAACAATGTTGGACAGATAATGAATACTGTATACAAGCTTCATTCTTTTTTGGGAAAACTGCATTTTAGGTGGGAGGTACAGAAAGAAGCAGGCTCAGGATACCTCTATTCCTGCTGAGCAAAGCATGTAGAAGAACAATAATCAACTTTCAGGCACCACGACTCTTTGAGATGCCTAATATACAAAGAAGCAGTAATTGTCCCTCTTATATTACCTCTCCCCTATCTCTTCACTTTCCACTACTAATCAGATTCTTCTCATCTGGCTGTCTTGAGTGAGCATGCTTTGTTCTCCCATTAACCCTTTTGTTTACTTTCAAATTGTGAGCTGAAAACAAGGAATTCATCAGACTGCCAGACTTTGGATATGAACTGGATGAACTCTTGTCTGTTCCTCATGTAGGAAGAACCCCCCCCCCATTTCAAAAGCGAATCCAAAATCACAAAAAGCAAACTTTCTAAGGCTTAATAGTCATATTTTCTGCTAGTATTCAATGGTAGTAGCAATTCTCATGGGAACAAGAGTTTTGATTCATGTTCTGAAAAAAGTTACTAATTGGATTTGAAAAGTATGGCTTTTTTAAAAAAAAAAATAATCACCAATTATAACGAATGGTTGAAAGCTAAATCCATACATGTCACAAGTTCCCTTTTTAAGTTTAATTTCCCCAAAAAGTGGGCAAAGAATTGCAGCCTGAGGAAACTTTGTAAAAGATTATTTCTATGGCAATACGAAGACAGAGACACCAAGTGGTACAGTAATCTGGTGCTGATGCTATGCTTAGACAGAGGGCACTGACTTCCGAAAGAGCCCTCTCTAACTTTCCAGTATTTTAGTACAAATTAACAATCAGGAATAAGCCCTGTGTTACAATAGCTTAGTATGAAGAAGTATTTGACAAAAGACCTGAAAGCAATGAGTTCAAGCCAAGGAAGAACCTATTCCTGCATCTTTCTGAAATCTGAAAGAAAAAAAATCTAAAGGCATCTTATTCAACTCCTGAATATAAAACACTGTTTGTTGAGAAGTTCTCCTACACAAGCCCCATTGATATGATCAGCAACCCTGACAGAAAACTAGTGTTCAATGGGTTTATTTCCATAGGCTTACCCCATGGCACTCTTATTTTTAGATTGTGGTCCATTAGCATCACTGTGCTAATTCTTTTTCTTTCCTGTTCTGTTGCCCTTCACGATTGCCAAAACCTGTCACCGCTGGGTCCTCTCTAGAATGACCTCTGATATGCTAATAGTCCCTTGCCTCCGAAGTCTTCCCCAGTGAAAATCAACTTCCAGAGGGTTAGTCAAAGGGCCAGCCTTATTCAACCACCTAACATGAGATCAAGCAGAAAGCAAGGAAGGCAATCAACTCCACACACAATAGCATTCGCCACACTAAACATGCCACTTATCAAGGCAACCACAATTTGGAGAAGGAAGAGCATCTGTTGACGACATGCATGCGACTAAGTGAGTGGGAAGGGAATATACATGGGTGTGATCAAACTAGTGAAGAGCAGGAGAGGAAAATAGGAGAGACTGTGGAATTTTTACTGTGGAAGGAGGCAACTTTTTAAAAAAATACCTAAAGAGAGATATGTAGAGTTGAAACGATTCAGACCGGTACCACTGATTAAATAATGCCCCAAATAAATCTATAGGAGCCGGCTGAAAGATGGAGAAGTGCAGCAGCTCTGTCTGCAAAGCAGCAGGCGACTATTCATTATTTCTTCTCCATCTTTCTCCAACTAAGGAACCTCAGAAGGGACCCAGCCGACGCTGCCCGCTTGTCCTCAACTACCGAGCCCCGCTCTCCGCCTCGGAGCAAATCTTAAACCGGACACTTTGCTCTTTATCCCCGCCTGACTCAGCTCTGCTCCCGAAGGAGGCTGCCCCCCGGACGGCGGTGGACCCACTTTCTCCAAGGGAAATCCTCCTATTCCCGCATAATCTTGGCAATCCGGAGTAGCGGAGCCAAGAAGGAGCTTCGGGCTTCTCCGGCGCCTGCCAAAGTGCAGTTCTCTCCCCTTGGATTTCGCTGCAAAGGAGGGCAGCGGAGAGCGATGTAAAACGCCTTCCCGCCCACCCGAGACGCCGCCGATCCCCCAAGTCTCTTCGGGGGAAAAGAGTTCGGAGCGCCCGCTGAATCCGGCTCAAACTCCGCGGGGACTTTTTCTTTCCACCGCCACACGCAGCCGGCGCGAGCTGCAAGCCGGGCACGGGAAAGTGGCTTGGAAGCCGCTTGTCCCCCGTTGCGCTCGGGTTTTCTCCCGCCCCCCCCCCGCCCGCCCCGCTCCAGCCTCTCCGCCTGAAACCGTGGAAGCGAGAGAAGCGGACAGGGCTGGCTTTTTTGCCTAGCTGTGCCCGGCGGTCGGGGAGGAAGAAAACGGACAAGGGGCGAGGAAAAGAGGCGTCCGCCCCGTCCAACCTCTGGGAAAAGCGGCCGTTCAGGTGCAGGAAGAGAGCTCCGGCGAAGAGCAAAAGCCGCCTTACCTTGCGCAGCCGAGCCGGGGCTGCTGGCACTCAGGATCGCCAAGGCGGGCAATGCGACCATCTGCAGTAAGTATCCCAGTCCCAGTCCGTAGCGGGCGGCGGCGGCGGCTTCCAACCCTTTGCCCATGGCTGCTCCGGTGTATGTGTGGGGGGGGGGGGAGACTCGACGCCCAAGAGCCCTCGAAGGCGGAGGCCGGCTCGCGCCCCTTGCCGCCGTCTTCCACCTCCTACGCGGCAGCGGCCGCGGTAGCAGCGGCGGTTCCTCCGTCAGCTCTCGTCCTCCCGCCGGGGGCCCCCTTCTGGACTTTCCGTCGGGGAGGGAGCAGTCGCGGCGGACCCCTCGCCCGCCTGCTCGCTCGGGAAACGCTTGCCTTGCGTTGCGCTGCGCCGGTTCCTGGTCCCCGACTGCCGCTTGAGGGCAGCGGTTCAAGCCCCACTTGGAGATCACAGCGTCCCTTGCCCGACCGTTGCTTTCTGCCGCTTCTTCTGCTTCTGCTTCTTCAGCCTCCTTGGCTTGGCCGGGAAACGCAGCCCTAAGGTGGGTAGCGCGCTTCCTTAGCCCGAATTGCGCGCGGAGGGAAAGGCGTCCAGGCGACGGCGACTCCGAGGCGACCAGGAATGGTCATTTCATAGCCTGGGCTAAGAAGTCTGCAGGAGCCGCTGGCGAGCCCGGAGTGGTAGAAGCGGCACCGACTCCCCGCAGCATCCTTCCCAACTCCCTCCGGAGGCAGGCGCGGCGACCCGACAGAAGCAGCACACTCCCCTTCGCGCCGCCACGCCGGCGTGAAAGCGGAGCGAGTCGGCGCGCCGTACTCGCCCTCTGCCTTCTCAACACTCCCCGCTCCCTCCTCCTCTTTCCTCCTCTTCTTCCCTCCCTCCCGAATGTTGGCCACGAGCTGCGGAGTGAAGCCCCGGCTGAGGCACCTCGCGGTAGTAAGGCAAGAAGCTCTCGGCTTCCCCCCCCCACAACGCCGCAAAGCCCGGAGCTGGATTTTTCGGACCAGAAGTGGCTCCTCCCTGCTCGCGCCGCCTGCGCACTTCAAGGCTTGGAGGAGAGAAGACGGGCGGCGGTGCCCGGGTGGGTTCGCAATCCTAAGCGCTTACTATCCTCCCGCGTTTCCCAGACGGGAGAAGGGAAGGGAGGAGAAGTGAGGCCAAGCCTCCTTCTAACAGTATTTTGAAAAGGACGGTCACGAAGGTGGCTTTCCGCGAAAGTAGGTTGTGGCGGGAAGTGGAAACGGAGGTAAAAAATGCTGCGAGTACCACTTCGGAACACCTGGAGAAAAGCGACGGGAAGAAATGAATAAATAAATAAGGAGTAGGTGGACGTGAGGTTTCTGCCAGGCACGTTTGCGAGTGTCTTATAAGCACCTTTGGGATTTCTGAGTAACCTTGTTTAGGATTGAGCAGTGTGGATCAACTAGGAAGTCCTGGCACTATCCGTGTGCGGCAATAGTTTAGTAGTTATGGAAATGCCACCTACCAGTGTCTTATAAACCCCAACAGGATAGGTTAGGGATTCATTTCTTAGTAAGTGTTTATATATGGAGGTTCTCAATCATCCAGGTCATGGTTGTCCCAAAGGTGCTTTTTCTCCAAGAAGCAACTGGTTGTTGGGTACAATAGGCTGACTCTGTTAACCGCTTAGAGAGAGCTGTAAAGCAGATAACAGATAATCAGAGTTGGAAGGGACCTTATAGATCATCTAGTCCAACCCCCCACCCAAGGGGAGACCCAAACCATTTCTGACAAATGGCAGTCCAATCTCTTCTTGACGGTCTCTAGTGATGGCGCTCCCACAATTTCTGAGGGCAAGGTGTTCCATTGGTTGATTGTTCTCACTATCAGAAAGTTTCTCCTTACTGGACTTTCTGGTTTTTCTTTGAAGACATTTAGCTTCTCATCCAAGAAGCTTCTTCACCTCAGAGCTGAAGAAGCTGCTTTACGTCTCCAAAGAAAAACCAGAAAGTCCAGTTGCCTCTTGTAGAAAAAGCACCTTTGGGATTTCTGAGTAACCTTGTTTAGGATTGAGCAGTGTGGATCAACTAGGAGGTCCTGGCTATATTGGATGGAAGAAGCACTATCCATGTGTGGCAATCGTTTAGTAGTTACGGAAATGCCACCTACCAGTGTCTTTTTAGTTGGAATAAAGACATTTTCTCCAGCTGTCAGGGAGGCAGGGCTGGCCTTCTGGAGTAGCTGATTGTAGACAAAAACAGAAGGTAGACCATCACAACACATCCACAATAAGATTGTTGCTAGTTCCTAACGTTTTGTTGTTAGACCCGTCGCAACCTCATAGAAAATGTTCCTGCAGGCCTTCCTGTCCTCTACCATCCCCTGGAGTCCATTTAAGCTCACTCCTACTGCTTCAATAACTCCATCCAGCCACCTCATTCTCTGCCGTGGCTAGTTCCTAACTATTCTGGCAATCAATTTGAGATTCTCTAAGCAATAGTTGCCCTTCTAAGGGGAATAAGTGGTACTACTTACTAAAGTAAAAATAAAGACTTCCTCCCCACTCAGTGGATAATTCCGTTTACAAGAGTTCTTTGCTATTTGATATTTTTTTAAAAAAATTCAAACCCCTGTGAGCCATCAGGTTTCTTTTCTCAAATGCATTTTGATTTAAAAAAAAATAAACATAAAGGTAAAAGCCAAGACAAAGGAACAGGCAGTAAGCAAAGGAAAAGAGAAGGAATTCAAAGAAAAAGCAAAAAGTGAAAGAAAAAAAGAAAATAGTTAATAAAAATAGAAAAACCATAGAAACAAATGGTTTTGATATTCTTCATAGCAGTTATTAGTACATTTACATTTCATCTTTATCTCTAAAGTTAGTTCATAGTACTCTTCTTTCTATAATCTATACTGTCCAATCATCAAAACCATAAGTCACAAGTTTCATTTTTACACAAAGCATCCATAAGAGGAGTCCAATAAACAAAAGTACATAGATGATGTATCTTCTCTAGTCAAAGTAGTTAATTTATCCATTTCAACAATGTATCAACTTCATTAACCATTCCTCCATAATGGGTAGTGGAATCTTTCCATCTTTGTGTGCACAATACTCTCACTGCTGGGACTATATAATGGATATGTTTTGGGGAATGAATTGTTTTTAAAGAAGTAGAGTACAGGAACATTTCTGTAAGACCATAAATTCACTCAAGAACAAGACAAAACTCACTGGTTAAGCTCACACATTACATTGAATGGTTTGGACACTGAACCACAATCTAGCCAAGTGCATTTTAGCTTACCATCAGGGGTGGGATTCTACCAGTTCGCACCTATTTGCTAGAACCAGTTGTTAACATTCTAAGCAGTTCAGAGAACCGGTTGTTAGAAGAAATTACTAGCCTAATCCTGTAAGGAAGGCAGGAAGGAAACATTCTGGTGTTGCTTATAGAAACTGCCTCTCCGTTAACCCTTATTACATTTTTGGCAGGACTAGACTTCCTGTCTCAGGAACGTCTCTGGAGTTTTTTTTCCCTCCTTTGCTGGTACTTTGCTTGTGTGGAGTGACCATTCAAAGTTACAATGGCACTGAAAAAAGTGACTTGTGACCATTTTTCACACAACTGTTGCAGCATCCCCACAGTCATGAAAGGCCAGGCAAGGAGATGCGTGCCTCGATGTGATATTGAGTTGGCCACACCCAGCCAATAACATAACCACCAAGCCATGACCACCCAAGCCGTGACCATTAAGCCACGCCCACCAGCTAAGCCACACCCACAGAAGGGGTTGTTAAAATTTTTGAATCCCACCCCTGCTTAACATGATAATCATTAAGTTATCCATGGGTTCATGAATACAGCTAGTGTGTCATTTGGTTTTGGCTTAGGATAATATAGCAATCCATAATCTTTGTAGCTTATAAAGCAGAGTTTATGACTTGGTATTTTTTAAAGCTTGCCTCTGTGGTTTTACAAACTGGTAAAATATACCGTGGCTTAGCACACTGGAACAATGCACTCTGACAAATGTGAACATGTAGATTAGTTGTGTAACCTGATGCCTTCCAAAAGTGTTAGGACTAAAAAGAAATAAAATTTCCTTTCTGCTTCTGAGTCTTTCTACTGACTTTATAAACATATCCATATTGGTGACAAAATGGAAGTACAGTTGTTTCCTATTTCTTGTAGGGTGTTTTGTTAACCTCCCAGTCTAGTCTAGGAATACTTCATGGTGTCTTCTCCAGGTCCTAATCAGGTGTGTTTAGCTCTGTTTAGCTTTTCAAGATCAGCCTAGATTAACTAGCACTGACACCAATACCAACTGCTGCATGTTGGGACTATAACTTCCAGAAATCTCAAAATATCTGGACAGCATAAGGATGGAAGACACAGGTAGGCCTCAAAATATGTGGTTGGGGCAGAACCCACTTCTGGTTGCATTATCTGAAGGAAAAATGCAGTATTTTGCATCTTTGGCATAACCAAAAGAAGAAAAAAGAAAAGACAAATGCCCATTTTCTAAATGTGAGAAGATAGATTTCACTAATATATACTGGTTCCCATTTCCTCTTCCTTGAGCACACTAAGGTGAAAAAGAATATGCAAATTGAAATAATACATCAAATGCATGCATTTTCAAAAAAAAACTGCTTGAAAAAGCAATAGGTTTTGCTTACTAACTTAGGAGAACAAAGCATTTATTTCTTGCCTTGTTCCATATATACTGCTATTTTGCTAAAATACCTAGTCACAATTCCTGGGATTGCTTTCTGGCCAACTAATTAAAAAAACAAAATTAACTCTGTAACTCAACATCTGTTAATTGTGTTAATGGCTTATTTCTTTGCTGCATAGTAAACTAAAGGAGACTCAACTTAAGATACATGCGAACAATTACTATGAAAATGTTATGTGCTTCACTGTGCTGTGCCCTAATGGATTACTCATTATTAGGTGTGCTAGACATTATGCTTTTATGCATTTAACCAATTAAAGGAAGACTTAGACATGGTTGGGCTTGATTTGGAATGCATACTGTGACAATTTTGGAAAGCTCCCAGGCCATGCTAAGATAATAAATATTCCTAGGACCAAGTATTGAATAGATAATTTGCCCTGAAGAATTAATTGGGCTGTATTATAGCACCAGAAACATTATTTTGTG